TGGATCCATCTCCACGTGGATGGATTCCCAAAGCCCACCTCAGGGTTCGGGGCAGAGCGCTGGGTGCCGGCTGCACCTCGGGAACAGCTCCCCTGAATCCACAGGCACCTGGAGCACCCCAGGGATTGGAGCACCCCACGTTCGCAGCCACAGATGGGGGCTGCATCCCAGGGAGAGGCTCCAGCCTTCCCAGGGAGATTCCAGCCTTCCCAGGGAGAGGTTCCAGCCTTCCCAGGAAGAGGTTCCAGCCTTCCCAGGGAGATTCCAGCCTTCCCAGGGAGATTCCAGCCTTCCCAGGGAGAGATTCCAGCCATCCCAGAGAGAGATTCCAGCCATCCCAGGGAGAGGGGAGAGGCTCCAGCCTTCCCAGGGAGATTCCAGCCATCCCAGGGAGAGATTCCAGCCTTCCCAGGGAGATTCCAGCCATCCCAGAGAGAGATTCCAGCCTTCCCAGGGAGAGATTCCAGCCATCCCAGAGAGAGATTCCAGCCATCCCAGGGAGAGTTTCTAGTCTTCCCAGTGAGAAGTTCCAGCCATACCAGGGAGAGGTTCCAGCCTTCCCAATGAGTTTCCAGCTTTCCCAGGGAGAGAATCCAGTTATCCCAGTGAGTTTCCAGCCATGCTAGTAAGAGTTTCCCACTTGCCCAGTGATAGAATCCAGCCATTCCAGTAAGAGTTTCCAGCTTTCCCAGTGACAGAATCCAGTTATCCCAGTGAGTTTCCAGCCAGCCCAGTAAGTTTCCCACTTTCCCAGTGAGTTTCCAGCCAGCCCAGTAAGAGTTTCCAGCCATCCCAGCGAGTCTTTCCAGCCACTCCAGCGAGGCTTTCCAGGCATTCCAGTGGATTTCCAGCTATCTTGCTGAGGATTCCAGCCATCCAGGTGAGGTTTTCCAGCTGTTCCCCACGCCACGGTGCCGCTGCAGCACCTGGAGCAGCGGGGGATCCATCCCCATCCCGATCCGTGACGTTCCCGGGCAGAGCCGAGCGCTGCGGACGTTCCCGGCCGTCGCTCCCGGGATTCATCCAGCGCCGGGAGATGAAAGGCTGGAGATGAAAGGCTGCAGGATCCCATCACACTCCGTTTTCCGTCTGTCACTTCCCATCTCCTCCATCCGGAGCCGTGGGAGCAGCAATTAGCGCTCGGCGGGTTGGGACGGGATTCCCGGCGGAGCTGCGAGATCCCAGTGCTCCCGCTCCGGCAGCGATGACAGCGTGGCAAGAGCCCTCACAGGGGCACTGGGGGGAGAAGCCTTGCAGGGGAGCCTGGAATCAGCCCTGAATTGTATTTTATCCATTTCATATTTTATATTAAATAAATAACGCTACGTGTGTGCCTAGAATTTATACGGATCCCAGGATTGCTGAGGCTGGGAAAGCCCTCCAAGGTCACCGAGTCCAAGCTGCGCCCAAAGCCCACCTTGTCCCCAGCCCTGAGTGCCACCTCCAGGAATTCCTTGGACACCTCCAGGGATGGGCACTCCAAATTTCCCCTTCCAAGGCCTGACCCCCCCTTTCCATGGGGAAATTCCTGCTGATTCCACCCTGAGCTCCCCTGGCCCAGGCTGAGGCCGTTCCCTCTGCTCCTGTCCCTGTTCCCTGGGAGCAGAGCCCAAACCCCTCCACTGGTGGATTTTCAATAAATGCTCAGATGTTACAAATACTCCCATGAATTTTCTGAAAGTCACATTCCAGGGACACAACACAGAGAGGTGTCCATGCTGATATTTGATCCATAAACAGACGTGTCCACACTCCCTGAGCTCCAGATCCACCTCTGGAATGGCAGTCGGGATGGGGGTCCCCACCCTGAGCCCCAGCGAGGTTGGGTTTGGTCCCTTGTGGAATTCTTGGATGTTTTTTCCATAATTTTAACTGCTGGTGTGGAAGGGAGGAGCAAACCCATCATTAATTGCACTGCCAGGTAATTAATGACAGCGCCAGGGACGGAAACATGACGGAGCTACGGAAGGATGAAACCCGGGGAGAAATAATTGGATTTAACGGGAGCATCCCAGGCCAGAGGGACCTCAGGGAGACCCTGGTGAGGCAGAACTGGGACCAGTACAGGACACAAAACCTCCCAGTCAGGGTGCCCAGGCAGGGGTGACACCGACCGGAGCCAGGACCAGCCCGAGGAGGAGGAGGAGGAAGCAGGAGGCAGAGGGAAGCAGCTCTTCCTCTGAGGACTGGGAATTTCACCCTTCCAGGGGGATCTGGCAGCACGATCCTGCCTCCACAAACCCTGGGTGTGCCCTAAAGGCACAGCTGATTCCAAACGCTGATCCCATGGGAACAGCCAGGGACAGACACAGAGCAGCCACAGGGCTGCAGCCCAGGGACCTCGGGGTGCTGGGAGGTGACCCTGGGGGGATGTCACATTGCAGCACGATCCTGCCTCCACAAACCCTGGGTGTGCCCTAAAGGCACAGCTGATTCCAAACGCTGATCCCATGGGAACAGCCAGGGACGGACACAGAGCAGCCACAGGGCTGCAGCCCGGGGACCTCGGGGTGCCAGGAGGTGACACTGGGGGGCTGGGATGTGACATGGGGGTGCCAGGATGTGACCCTGGGGTGCCAGGGCTGCACAGGGACACCCCGGACTCAGGGGCACAGAGCCCACACTGCGGGGCCCCGGGGGATCTGAGGGAATTCGGGAGGAGCCGGGGCCGATCCCAGAGGGTTTCCCAGCGGATCCATCCGGGCGCTGCCTTTGTGCCCTCTCCCTTTGTGCCCTCTCCCTTTGTGCCCTCTCCCCTTCTGCATCCCCCTTTCTGCCCTCTCCCTTTCTGCCCTCTCCCTTTCTGCCCTCTCCCTTTGTGCCCTCTCCCTTTGTGCCATCTCCCTTTCTGCCCTCTCCCTTGCTGCCCTCTCCCTTTCTGCCCTCTCCCTTTCTGCAGTCTCCCTTTCTGCCCTCTCCCTTTCTGCCATCTCCCTTTCTGCCCTCTCCCTTTCTGCCCTCCCCCTTTTTGCCATCCCCCTTTCTGCCCTCTCCCTTTCTGCCCTCTCCCTTTTTGCAGTCTCCCTTTCTGCCATCTCCCTTTCTGCCCTCTCCCTTTCTGCCGTCCCCCTTTCTGCCATGCCCCTTCCTGCTCTCTCCCTTTCTGCCCTCTCCCTTCCTGCCCTCTCCCTTTCTGCCTCTCCCTTGCTGCCCTCTCCCTTTCTGCCCTCTCCCTTCTGCCCTCTCCCTTTCTGCATTCCCCTTTCTGCCATGCCCCTTTCTGCCCTCTCCCTTGCTGCCCTCCCCCTTTCTGCCCTCTCCTTGGAGACCGCGGCCGCTCACGGGGGATCCCGCTGCTCCCGCTGCCCCCCGAGCCCCCGGCAGCTCCCGGCCCTCCGAGCTGATGCCAGAGGAGCAGCGGGAAGAGGCCGATCTGGGAAGGTTTCCATCATTCCCCGTGGCCAGAGCAAGGCGGCGTGCAGGGAGGCAGGAATTTCCAAATTCCCGTTCCCACAGCAACGCGGGGTCACCTCGGGAGCTGTCGCCCACCGGCACGGCCAGGCCGGCCCATGGTGCTCCAGGACGGAAAACAGCCTGGGAAAGGCGGGTTTGGAGCAACCCTGGCTCGGCCCCATCGTGTGCACGGGCAGGAGCCTTCCAGGAGCCTTCCCAGGAGCCTTCCCGGCATCTCCAGAGGCGCTGGAGGAGGAGGAGGGACGTGCCAGGAACAAGGCAGGCACACCAAGGGTCTCGGGATCTCCGAGATCCCACAGCTCTGAGGGCACCAGCCACGGAGGGAAGGCAGTAACAGAGGGAACAGCAGCAGCAGCACCGGGATGAATCCCTGCCCTGAGGAGCCCCTGGGGACTGGCTTCACCCAGAGACAGCAGGGAGTGCCTGGCTTCTGCACCCCCAGCGCTGTCCCAGACAGGGACACAGGGATCCGAGCCACACCCTGGCTCCCGGGGCAGCTCCAGAGCTCGCCGTGGGAAGGAGACTCTGAAAAGGGATCAATCCCTCATCCTGGGTTCTGCAACAGCTCCAAAGCTGTGAGCAGGGTCAAGGAGACACTGTGTGACACAGGGATCAATCCCTCATTCCAACTCCTGCAGCAGCTCTGGAGCTGTGAGGGGAATGAAGGAGACCCTGTGACACAGGGACTGACCCCTCAGTGGAGTCAGTGACACTGTGTGTAGCTCTGAGGGCACCAGCCACGGAGGGAAGGCAGTAACAGAGGGAGCAGCAGCAGCAGCACCGGGATGAATCCCTGCCCTGAGGAGCCCCTGGGGACTGGCTTCACCCAGAGACAGCAGGGAGTGCCTGGCTTCTGCACCCCCAGCGCTGTCCCAGACAGGGACACAGGGATCCGAGCCACACCCTGGCTCCCGGGGCAGCTCCAGAGCTCCCCGTGGGAGGGAGACTCTGAAAAGGGATCAATCCCTCATCCTGGGTTCTGCAACAGCTCCAAAGCTGTGAGCAGGGTCAAGGAGACACTGTGTGACACAGGGATCAATCCCTCATTCCAACTCCTGCAGCAGCTCTGGAGCTGTGAGGGGAATGAAGGAGACCCTGTGACACAGGGACTGACCCCTCAGTGGAGTCAGTGACACTGTGTGTGACACAGGGACTGACCCCTCATCCTGCACAGCTCCAAACTCAGTCAGGGACACTGTGTGTGACACAGGGACTGACCCCTCAGTGGACTCAGTGACACTGTGTGTGACACAGGGCCCGACCCCTCAGTAGAGTCAGGGACACTGTGTGTGACACAGGGCCCGACCCCTCAGTAGAGTCAGGGACACTGTGTGTGACACAGGGACTGACCCCTCATCCTGCACAGCCCCAGAGCTCTGAGCACAGTCAGGGACACTGTGTGTGACACAGGGACTGACCCCTCAGTGGAGTCCCTGTGGTGTCCCCAGGCACTGTCCCCTCCCCGTGCCTGTCCCCGCGGTGTCCCCAGGCACTGTCCCCTCCCCGCGGTGTCCCCAGGCACTGTCCCCTCCCTGTGTCTGTCCCCAGGCACTGTCCCCTCCCCGTGCCTGTCCCCGCGGTGTCACCTGGGCGCTGTCCCCCTCGAGCCGCGGTGGCCGGATGCTGGACAGGTGAATGGTTTTGTGGTCCCCCGAGTTGAGCTTCACCACGATGGCGTCGGCGTTGAGCACCTGCATCACCTGGGGACAGAGACAGAGCTGAGCGTGGGGACAGCGGCCACCTGGGTACACCCAGGGCCAGGTGCCACCGTGGCAGTGGCTCTGCCGCCCTGACTCCCACCCCCGGCACAGGGAGCAGCCCCAGCCCCATCCCGGCTGTCACGGGGGGATGTGGGCTCCTGGCATGGGGACATGTGGCACACCAGGGCACTGCCAGCCGTGTGTGTCCTGTGCCAGGGCTCAGCCCCCTGGGTTTCATTCCAGAGGCAATTCCAGAGGAGCAGGAGCTGGACACTGGACAAGGGATGAGAGAACAAGGACAGCCCATGCTGGGAGCAAACTAATCAGGACCACACAGTCAGGGAATCCGGGAATTATTTGGGTGGGAAGGGACCCCAGAGCCCCTGCAGTGCCACCCTGCCATGGCAGGGACACTGCCACTGTGCCAGGCTGCTCCAGCCCCAGTGTCCAGCCTGGCCTTGGCCACTGCCAGGGATGCAGGGGCAGCCCCAGCTGCTCTGGCAATTCCAGCCCAGCCAGGAATTCCTCATGGCCAAGATCCCATCCATGGCTGCCCTCTGGCACTGGGAGCCATTCCCTGTGTCCTGTCCATCCCTTGTCCCCAGTCCCTCTGCAGCTCTCCTGGAGCCCCTTCAGGCCCTGCCAGGGCTCTGAGCTCTCCCTGGAGCCTTCTCTTGTCCAGGTGAGCACCCCCAGCTCTCCCAGCCTGGCTCCAGGCAGAGGGGGCAGGAGGATCCCGGTCCAGCTCAGGACACACACACACACACACACATGGGTTTAACATTCCCAGTTCTCCAGCCTGGCTGAGCAGAGCTGCTGGATATTGCCACTGCCAGGACAGGAACCTTTCCCTGCCTGCTCCCAGCACAGCCCAGTCCCCCCAGTCCCAAAGGCTCCCAGTGCTGCTCACACATCCCGACCCCGCTCCCACACCCCCGGAGCCGGGAGGGAGGCAGCAGCCGACCCCACTCCAGCCCTCCGTGCCCCCCAGTCAGTCACACCCGCCCCTCCCAGCGCGCTGGGCCGGAGGGAGAGCGGGATTTAAGGAATTCAGATCCGAGCAGACACCACGGAGCGCCAGGGCACAGCAAAGCCCCCGGGAACGGCCCCGGCCCCTCCCGGCTCCCAGCTCCTGGATGCTTCCTCGGCAGGAGCAGCCCAAAGCCGTGTGCCTGCCAAGTGGAGTAATCCAATCTCACGCTCCAGGGCATCCAGGGGCGAGGAGGGAGCGGCCTCTCTCCTTCCTGCCGCCCGAGACTCGGGAAAAAGCGGGATGCGAAGCGGAGCTGCTGCAGCCAGGGCCGCTGCGGGTCAGCTCCGGGGGCAGATCCCGCGCTCCATTACACATCCAGCACATGCTTCCCCGCGAGCCGCGGGAGCCCGGTCACATCTTGTTTGTTCCCTGGCAGGAGGCAGCAGCCGGCCAGCGGCTCCCTCTGCACGGAAGGAGGCACGGCCCGCATCCCACATCCCGGATCCCGCATCCCGGATCCGTGTGGGAGCGGCAGCGGGGACTGGCCGGGCCCCTCCGGCCCCCCTGCCCGGCAGGAACAACTCACGGGACCCTGCGCCGGGATCAGCCGGCTGCGAGGGGCACGCGGGACACGGGGGCAGGCAGCTGCACATGGATGCAGCAGGACACGGGATGGAGGACACAGGATGGAGATGCGGGTCAGCTCCGGGGGCAGATCCCGCGCTCCATTACACATCCAGCACATGCTTCCCCGCGAGCCGCGGGAGCCCGGTCACATCTTGTTTGTTCCCTGGCAGGAGGCAGCAGCCGGCCAGCGGCTCCCGGAAGCACGGCCCGCATCCCACATCCCGGATCCCGCATCCCACATCTCGCATCCCGCATCCCGGATCCGTGCGGGAGCGGCAGCGAGGACTGGCCGGGCCCCTCCCGCCCCCCTGCCCGGCAGGAACAACTCACGGGACCCTGCGCCGGGATCAGCCGGCTGCGAGGGGCACGCGGGACACGGGGGCAGGCAGCTGCACATGGATGCAGCACGACACGGGATGCAGGACATGGGATGCAGCAGCACATGCATGTAGCAGGACACAGGATACAGCAGGATGCAGGATGAAGCAGGACATGGGATGCAGCAGGACACAGGACATGGGATGCAGCAGGACATGGGATGCAGGTCATAGGATGCAGCAGGACATGGGATACAGCAGGACATGGGATGAAGCAGAATACAGGATGTAGGACATGGCATGCAACAGGACACAGATGCAGCAGGACATGAATTTAGGATACAGGAGGCAGCAGAACACGGACAGAGCAGATTCTGGGATGCAGCAGGATATGGACGTAGCAGGATACAGGATGGAGGACATGGAATGCAGCAGAACATGGATGCAGCAGGACATGGGATGGAGGACATGGAATGCAGGACATGGGAGACAGGCAGCAGCACATGGATGCAGCAGGACACGGGATGCAGGACATGGGAGACAGGCAGCAGCACATGGATGCAGCAGGACACGGGATGGAGGACACGGGATGCAGGACATGGGATGCAGGACACGGGGGCAGGCAGCAGCACATGGATGCAGCAGGACATGGGATGGAGGACATGGGAGACAGGACATGGGAGACAGGCAACAGCACATGGATGCAGCAGGACACGGGATGCAGGACACGGGATGCAGGACACGGGGGCAGGCAGCAGCACATGGATGCAGCAGGACACGGGATGCAGGACATGGGATGCAGCAGCACATGCATGTAGCAGGACACAGGATACAGCAGGATGCAGGATGAAGCAGGACATGGGATGCAGCAGGACATGGGATGCAGGGCATAGCAGGACATGGGATGCAGGTCATAGGATGCAGCAGGACATGGGATACAGCAGGACATGGGATGAAGCAGAATACAGGATGTAGGACATGGCATGCAACAGGACACAGATGCAGCAGGACATGAATTTAGGATACAGGTGGCAGCAGAACACGGACAGAGCAGATTCTGGGATGCAGCAGGACATGGGATGAAGCAGAATACAGAATGTAGGACATGTCATGCAGCAGTACACAGATGTAGCAGGACATGAATTTAGGATACAGGTGGCAGCAGAACACGGACAGAGCAGATTCTGGGATGCAGCAGGACATGGACGTAGCAGGATACAGGATGGAGGACATGGAATGCAGCAGAACATGGATGCAGCAGGACATGGGATGCAGCAGGATGCACGATGAAGCAGGACATGGGATGCAGCAGGACATGGGATGGAGGACATGGGATGCAGCAGCACATGGATGTAGCACAACATGGGATAAAGCAGAATACAGAATGTAGGACACGGGATGCAGCAGGACACAGGATGCAGCAGCACATGGATGTAACAGCACATGGATGTAGCAAGACACAGGATGCAGCAGCACATGGATGCAGCAGCACATGGATGTAGCAAGACACAGGATGCAGCAGGACATGAATTTAGGATACAGGAGGTAGCAGGCAGGACATGGGATGCAGCAGCACATGCATGTAGCAGGACACAGGATACAGCAGGATGCAGGATGAAGCAGGACATGGGATGCAGCAGGACACAGGACATGGGATGCAGCAGGACATGGGATGCAGGTCATAGGATGCAGCAGGACATGGGATACAGCAGGACATGGGATGAAGCAGAATACAGGATGTAGGACATGGCATGCAACAGGACACAGATGCAGCAGGACATGAATTTAGGATACAGGTGGCAGCAGAACACGGACAGAGCAGATTCTGGGATGCAGCAGGATATGGACGTAGCAGGATACAGGATGGAGGACATGGAATGCAGCAGAACATGGATGCAGCAGGACATGGGATGCAGCAGGATGCACGATGAAGCAGGACATGGGATGCAGCAGGACACAGGATGCAGCAGGACATGGATGTAGCAGCACATGAATTTAGGATACAGGAGGCAGCAGGACACGGACGGAGCAGATTCTGGGATGCAGCAGGACATGGATGTAGCAAGACACAGGATGCAGCAGCACATGGATGCAGCAGCACATGGATGTAGCAAGACACAGGATGCAGCAGGACATGAATTTAGGATACAGGAGGTAGCAGGACACAGATGTAGCAGGACATGAATTTAGGATACAGGAGGCAGCAGGACACAGATGCAGCAGGACATGAATTTAGGATACAGGAGGCAGCAGGACACGGACGGAGCAGATTCTGGGATGCAGCAGGACATGCAGCAGGACACAGATGTAGGACACAGGAAGCAGCAGGACACGGCACCTGGAGCAGGGACATTGTGGCTCCCAGGCAGGACAGAGCCGGGTGGCAGCGGGAGCCAAGAGGGACCTGCAGGGTCCCTGCAGGGCCCTGACCCAGTTACAAAGGGTCCCTGCAGGACATGGGATGCAGTAGGATGTGCTGGAGGACACGGGGCACAGCAGGACATGGCACATGGAGCCAGGGCTCCCACGGGATGCCAGTCCCAGGCAGGACAGAGCAGGGTGGCACGAGGGGCACGCCCAGGAGCCGCAGGGAGGGCAGGAGGGTCACGGGGGGTGACACGGGGGGACACAGTGACAGAACACTCAGCACCGCCCCGGGGCCAGGGCTTTTGTCTCCCGCCACGCTCCCAGCCCGCCGCGGCCATTCCCTTATCCAATATTTATTGTGGCTTCTCCTGCCTGCGAGAGGCCCTTTGATAACGGGATTGGAAGGATTATTTTTTAAAGCTCTGCAGCTGTTTCTTGCAGAGCCAGCACGCTCCGGCTGCTGCTTCCCACGTCCCCCGGGCTGGGAGCAGGGAGGGCAGCCCCGGAATGTCCCTGTGGCACCGGCCACCCCGGTCACCCCCATCCCATCAGCGCCCCAGGGCACGGAGCTCGCAGCCCTCCCCTGTCCAGATTTGTCAGGGAAGATGTTTTTTCCTCACTGCTAGAGCTGGGCCCAGCAAAGCCTCCAGTCTTCCACCCCGGGCTTTGCCTGTCCCCAGTACTGGGGGCACACAGGGAGGGAGAACTGGGACCAGTACAGGACACAAAACCTCCCAGTCTGGGTGCCCAAGCAGGCACAGGACCAGTCCTAGGAGGAAGAAGCAGAGGGAAGCAGCTCTTCCTCTGAGGACTGGGAATTTAACCCTTCCCGGGAGGCTCTGGCAGCACGATCCTGCCTCCACAAATCCTGGGTGTGCCCTAAAGGCACAGCTGATTCCAAATGCTGATCCCAACCCATGGGAACAGCCAGGGACAGACACAGAGCAGCCACAGGGCTGCAGCCCAGGGACCTCGGGGTGCTGGGAGGTGACCCTGGGGTGCCAGGATGTGACATTGGGGGCCAGGGATTCAACTTTTAGGGATGGTTTCCCTGGGAGCTGGGGAGGGCAAGGACCCCCATTCCTGGGGACCATGGGGACGTGTCCCCACTCCTAAAGCTCCTGGCTGCTGTGCTCCTAGGACAGCATCCCTATCCCAGGACAGCATCCACTCCCGGGGTGCACAGGGAGCATCCCCAGAGCTGAGGGCGACCTCCCGCACCCCAACAAGGACAGTGGCACTTGGGGAGCCAGAGGCCAGCACCAGGAGAGGCTCGAGTGTCCCCCCCATCCCAAAAATGTCCTTTAGAGGGGCTTTGGCAGGGTCTGGCACTCGGCTCAGCCCAGGAGCAGCTCCCGGGCTCGGCTCTGGCACATCCCACCGAGCCCCGGGATGACTTGGCCACGAGCAGAGCTCCCAGCAAAGGCAATAAAAGCCAGGATCAAAGGAGCCCCATCCGCCGAGCCTGTCGGGGGGCAGCGGGGGCGGGACAGAGCCGGGGTGGCCCGGGAGCCCCCCAGGGCGGGCCGGGCTGCCGCAGCCCCCCCTGCAGAGGATGGCTCCCAGCCCGGCGCTCGCACGGCTCCGCAGCGTGTCCCGAATCCCGCCGCTCCCAGACCCGCTGACGCAGGGATTTCGGGAGACAGCCTCCAGCCCCCCTGACATTCCCATTCCTCTGCTTTCCTCCTCGCCCCTCACCAGCGCCGGACCCACAAGAACCGAGGCCAAGCCCCCCTGCTCCCCCAGCCGCAGCCAGAATTAGCCGGAGCCCATTTGCCGCGCTTCATCAGCGGTGCACAGGCAGGTTGGGATCTTCCTCCTCCTCCTCCTCCTCCTCCCCCTCCCCTCGCAGCCCCTTCCAGCAGCTCCTGCGTCAGCTGTGCCGCTGCGAACGAGCCCCGCTGTGCCGAGCACGGAGGCGGCTCCGGCGCCATCCCTGCCCACCCGCTCCGTGCCCGGCCCCGCCACTTCCTCCGGGAGCCCCGGGAGCCCCGGGAGCCCCGGACACGTGCCCGGCTGCGGGATCCGCGCTGCCACCGCAGCCGTGCGGGCATCTGCCCTCATTTTCCCTGTCGCTTACAATTCCGGGCAAAGGGGAAAAAAAAAATAAATAAAAAAAAAAAAGCTCCCAAAGTGACACCGAAATGCGGGGGCGCTGCGGCTGCCAAAGGCCAAATCCCAGCGCCCCGGGAGAAGAGCAGGATCGGCCCAACAGGCGGAGAGATCCCAGCCTCCTCCCCGAAAAGCAGGACACGGTGTTTGCTGCCTTTGGGGGCTCCCAGGGAAGCGGGGGGACCCCGCAGAGCCGGGGAATTGGGGGGGATCCTGCAAACTCTGCCCCCCAACCCACGGGGATGCCACTCCCCACCATTCCCAGGTGGATCCCCGCCGCTCCTGGGGATGGGGGAGATGCTGCTGACCCCAAAGCCACCCCGACACCCCTATCCAGAGACTGGGGGGGGGGAGGGGGGGAGATGCTGCTGACCCCAAAGCCACCCCGACACCCCTATCCAGAGACTGAGGGGGGGCCCCCGCCTGCCGCTATCCCACAAAATCTCGGCATCCTGGAATCGCCGGGAGCATCCAGCCGCCCCCTCCAGCAGCTGAGCGGAGCGTGACTGACGGCCCTGGCACAGCTCCTGGCACAGCTCCTGGCACAGCTCCTGGCACAGCTCCTGGCACAGCCCCGGTGGCAGCCGCTGCCAGCGGCGCTTCCCGGCGTTCCAGCGCCGGCACGCGGCCCTGCCGTGCCCACGGGACACCTGCCCAGGTGTCATTTGTCACACGGGGAGGGGACAGCCACGTCCTCATCCCGAGGGATGGGCTCTCAGTTCCGGCCTCCCTGGGGTGGGCAGCTTTTGGGGAGCTCTGCTCCTGTCCCAGCCACATCCGAGCCCGCAGAGCAAGCACAGCAGCCATTCCCAACCTCATCCCAGCAGACGCGAGCCAGAGGCACCACAGGGATCAGCTCTGAGCAGCTCCTGGCTGTCCTGGCAGCTCCAGAGCTTTTCCATTGTGCTCCCTTCAACCCTCGGCACCCAGGAGCCCCCCAGGGTCTGCCAAGGCTCGATCCTATTCCTGCTTTTCCCCACAAGAACCAAGGCTTGATCCCATTCCTGCTTTTCCCCAGAAGCTGCCAAGCTTGATCCCATTCCTGCATTCCCCCAGGAGCTGCCAGGCTTGATCCCATTCCTGCTTTTCCCCAGGAGCACCAAGGCTTGATCCCATTCCTGCTTTTCCCCAGGAGCTGCCAGGCTTGATCCCATTCCTGCTTTTCCCCAGGAGCTGCCAGGCTCGATCCTATTCCTGCTTTTCCCCACAAGAACCAAGGCTTGATCCTATTCCTGCTTTTCCCCAGGAGCTGCCAGGTTTGATCCTATTCCTGCTTTTCCCCAGGACCACCAAGGCTTGATCCCATTCCTGCATCCCCCCAGGAGCTGCCAGGCTTGATCCCATTCCTGCTTTTCCCCAGGAGCTGCCAGGCTCCATCCCATTCCTGCTTTTCCCCAGGGTCAACCAAGGCTCCATCCCATTCCTGCTTTCTGCCAAGGCTTGATCCCATTCCTGCATCCCCCCAGGAGCACCCAGACAAGGCCAGGTTGCTCGGACACGATCCCGGATCCCGGCAGGACCGGAGCAGCTGCAAGGGTCCGACCCTGCGCAGGGACCACGCCGACTTTCCAAGAAATGCGGCTGCTGCCCATTCCCAGGGAAATTCCAGCAGCTCCGGAGCCGCGGCCGCTGCCTGGGCGAGGCAGCAGCTCCATCTAGTGGGGCCGATCCCAGGGATCCTGCCCGGATCCCGCAGCTCCCGCATCCCACCGGGACCACCCGGCCCTTCACCTCCCTCCACACCGGGGCAGGGATTGCCGGGGCATCCACGGGCAGGGATTCCTGGGGCATCCATGGGCAGGAATTCCCGGCGTATCCACGGGCAGAGATTCCCGGGGCATCCACGGGCAGGGAATCCCGGGGTATCCATGGGCAGGGATTCCTGGGGCATCCAGAGGCAGGGATTCCCGGGGTATCCACGGGGCAGGGATTCCCAGGGCATCCACGGGGCAGGGAACACACCAGCACCCATCAAGAGAGGGGCTCCAGCCTTTGGGACAAGTGGGAACCAATACATGGGGCAGCCATTTCCCTGGGATCATTGGGAATTGATCCGTGGGGCAGCCATTCCCTGGGAGGATCAGGAATTGATCCAGGGGACAGCCATTCCCTGGGATCATTGGGAATTGATCCATGGGGCAGCCATTCCCCTGGGAGGATCAGGAATTGATCCATGGGGCAGCCATTCCCTGGGATCACTGGGAATTGATCCAGGGGGCAGCCATTCCCTGGGAGGATCAGGAATTGATCCAGGGGGCAGCCATTCCCTGGGAGAATCAGGAATTGATCCATGGGGCAGCCATTCCCTGGGAGGATCAGGAATTGATCCATGGGGCAGCCATTCCCCTGGGAGGATCAGGAATTGATCCATGGGGCAGCCATTCCCTGGGAGGATCAGGAATCACTTGAGATGTGAGCCCACCCCTGTGGCCCCAGCTGACCAGAGCGAGGTGCCAGGACCCCCCCAGCCCGTGCCCACAAACCAAACCCCTCTCTCAGGGCTCCTTCCCTTCTCCTGGCACCTCTTCCCACTCCAGCCCTGCCGGAGATCCCAGAGCGCCCTGGGATCCATGGCTGGGATCCAGCCAAGGAAAACCCCTCTGGGCTTTGTCCAAACCCACGGAGAGGCCAGACTGGGAGCTGGGCACCCCGTGCTGTGCCCCTGCTCCCCAGATGTCCCTTCCCAGCCCCGCTCACCTTGGCCACGAACTGTTTGTCCTTCTGATCCAGGTTTGCCGTGGGGGCCACGTAATCCCTCCAGATCCTCAGCTTGCGCTCCTTGGCAAACCTGGCGGGGGGGGGACAGTGGGACCCCGGGAATGGGACACCCGGACGTGCCGGGGTGGCACCCCCAGCAAAGCCCCGGGGAGAGATGGAGGGGAGATCCCATCAATCCCACCCTGGTGAGCCACACGGGGCTGGAGTCACCCTGGGCACCCCATGGATGCAGCTGGGAGCAGTGGGAGCACTGGGATCAATCGGGAGCAGTGGGATCAACTGGGAGTAGTGGGATCAGCTGGGAGTAGTGGGATCAGCTGGGAGCAGGGGGAGCACTGGGATCAACCGGGAGCAGTGGGATCAGCTGGGAGGAGTGGGATCAGCTGGGAGCAGTGGGATCAGCTGGGAGCAGTGGGAACAGTGGGAACAGCTAGGAGCAGCTGGAGCACTGGGATCAACTGGGAGCAGTGGGAGGAGTGAGATCAGCTGGGAGCAGTGGGAACACTGGGATCAGTGGGATCAGCAGGGAGCGGTGGGAACAGTGGGATCAGCTGGAGCACTGGGATCAGCTAGGAGCAGTGGGATCAGCTAGGAGCAGCAGGAACTGGGAGCAGATGGGAGCAGCAGGATCAGTGGGATTGGCAGGAGCACTGGGATCAGCTGCGTGCAGGGGGAGCAGTGGGAGCACTGGGAGCACTGGGAGCAGCAGGATCCCCATCCCACCTCTCGGCCGCGCGCAGTTTGTCGGCGCCGCGGGTGTAGACGGCGATGGACCAATCCACACAGCGGGCAAAGCCCTCCTTCAGCAGCAGCTCCGTGATGTTCCCGTTCTGTGGGGAGCAGGAGAGGGCCCGGGCTCAGCAGGATCCCCCCAGGGTCAGCAGGATCCCCCGGGCTCAGCAGGATCCCCCCAGGCCCTGTCCCTGCTGGGGGGCACCTGCACAGCCCCTGCGATGTCCCCTGAGCTCCCAGTGCTACTGGAGACCCCACCAGGGACAGCCCTGGGCCTCTGCCCTCCTCACACGGACCAGGATGTCCCAAATCCACCAGGAAACAGCCCACAAATCCCAGTGCCACCCCTGGGCTCTGCCCTCCTGACACAGACCAGGATGTCTCAAATCCACCGGGAAAGAGCCCAAAAATCCCAGTGCCACCCCCGGGCTCTGCCCTCCTGACACAGACCAGGATGTCCCAAACCCACTGCCCACAAATCCCAATGCCACCCCCGGGCTCTGCCCTCCCCACACGGAGCAGGATGTCCCAAACCCACCACACCTCCCAGTTGCCCACCAGCAGCACCCTGGGACCCCCTGGAGCGTGCCCAGCCCCCAGAGCCAGCCCGTGCCGGCACTCACGGGGTGCAGGATGGTGCCCAGGATGTTCTGGTTGTGGCAGCTCTCCAGGACAATCTGCACGTCCCTCTGGAGCAGCCGTGACTCCGTGAAGAATTTGGCTTCGGCCGCGAACGGCTCCGGGACCTCGGCGTCAGCCTCGCGCTTGAAGGTGGGACACTGCGGGACACGGGGACAGGCAGGGCTCGGGATGGGCCCAAAACCTCGGCAGGAGGGTGGGAACCCCCCTGGGGAGGAGGCTGCACCCATTCCCTGGCTCCAGGGGTGTTTTGGGGACTGAAGTCGGGGAATTTGTGTAAGGGCAGAGCCCTTTGACTGCCCTGGGAAACAGGGACCGACTCCAGCTCAGGGACCTGGAGCTGCTGGAGAGAGCCCAGAGACCCTGGAGCTGCTCCAGGGCTGGAACACCTCTGCTCTGGATCAAGGCTGGGAGAGCTGGAATGTTCATCTGGAGAGGAGAAGGGTCCAGGGAGAGCTCAGAGCCCTGGCAGGGCCTGAAGGGGCTCCAGGAGAGCTGCAGAGGGACTGGGGACAAGGGATGGACAGGACACAGGGAATGGCTCCCAGTGCCAGAGGGCAGCCATGGATGGGATCTTGGCCATGAGGAATTCCTGGCTGGGCTGGAATTGCCAGAGCAGCTGGGGCTGCCCCTGCATCCCTGGCAGTGGCCAAGGCCAGGCTGGACACTGGGGCTGGAGCAGCCTGGCACAGTGGCAGTGTCCCTGCCATGGCAGGGTGGCACTGCAGGGGCTCTGAGGTCCCTTCCTACACAAGTCTGTGGTTCCTTGAACTTGGACAAAGCAGGAATTTCTCCATGGGAAGGATGATCAGAAGTTGGAAGGGTCTGCCCACAGAGTTCCAGGAATTCCTGGAGGTGGCACTCAGGGCTCTGGGCTGGAGACAAGGTGGGCATTGGGCACGGTGGGACTGGCTGGGCTGGGAGGGCTTTTCCAGCCTTAGGGATCCCGGGATCCCATGAACTCCCAGCACAATCCTGACCAGGGTGTCTGACAGCCCCACCCAGCCCACACCTGTCCCCACCCCACGGTGACACCTCGGGCTCCTCCCAGCCTGGTACCGCAGGTGCAGCAGGTGACAAGGACATCCCTGCATCCCTCCCTGCTGCGGCCCTGGGACCCAGAGAGCGGCAGGAGCCAAGGAGGTCGGACAGGGAAGGAACTGGGCAGCGGGGATTGAGCAGTGGGAAATGTGGCAGAGGGAATGCAGCAGGGGGAATGGGGCAGAGGGAATGGGGCAGCGGGAATGGGGCAGCGGGAACTGTGGCAGAGGGAATTGTGGCAGAGGGAATTGTGGCAGAGGGAATTGAGCAGAGGGAATGGGGCAGTAGGAATGGGGCAGCGGGAATGGGGCAGAGGGAATGGGGCAGACGGAATGGGGCAGTGGGGACTGGGCAGAGGGAATTGGGCAGTGGGAATGGGGCAGAGGGAATGGGGCAGAGGGAATGGGGCAGAGGGAATGGGGCAGAGGGAATGGGGCAGCGGGAATGGGGCAGCGGGAACTGTGGCAGAGGGAATTGTGGCAGAGGGAATTGTGGCAGAGGGAATTGAGCAGAGGGAATGGGGCAGTAGGAATGGGGCAGCGGGAATGGGGCAGCGGGAACGGGGCAGCGGGAACGGGGCAGGGGGAATGGGGCAGGGGGAGTGTGGCAGAGGGAATGGGGCAGAGGGAATGGGGCAGAGGGAATGGGGCAGCGGGAATTGAGCAGTAGGAATGGGGCAGCGGGATTGTGGCAGAGGGAATGGGGCAGTGGGAATGGGGCAAAAGGAATGGGGCAGCAGGAATGGGGCTCACCTTGATCCCCGAGAGCATGACGGTGACCAGGTAGAAGTCGGGCAGGAGCAGGGCCCTCACCACGCTGCCGTCCCGCACGTGCTCGATGATGGCTGCGGAGCGACACCGGAGCTCACCCCGCGGGGCCAGCAACGGGACAGGGGGACAGGGGGACACGGGGACACGGGGACCTCCCCAGACCACCTTACCGTTGACGGGTTTCTGGTGCAGGGAGTCCACGAAGTGCCGGGGGTTCTCCAGGGTGTACTTGAGGTCGCGCACGGTGTGCGCGCCCGAGCCCTCGCTCCACATGCCCTTCTTGGCGCTGCGGGCCTGCTCCTCCAGCTCGGCCAGCCGGCTCTGCTCGGGGCTGCGGGACAGCTCGGGCTCAGCCCCGCAGCCTGCCCCTCCCCGGCTCCTTTGGGAGCCCAAGCGAGCTCCTCCCAGCGCCCAGCCCAGCGGGAATACGGCGGGAAGCGCCTCCGCCTCCTCCTCCTCCTCCCAGGGATCAGGAGGAGAGGCCGGGACCCCTCCAGAGGCTGCCCTGTGCACCGACTGCCAGCAGGGCAGAGCACGTCTGGGAGAGCAGGGAAGGCACATTCCATGGGAATCCAGGGATCGGCCGGCCCTGCAGACACAGGTGGCCACTGCGGGGCCACCAAAGCGCCCACGGTCCCCTCCCAGCCCTGGCACCACAAACTCAGGGACACTGAACAGGGTGCCCAGAGCAGCTGGGGCTGCCCCTGCATCCCTGGCAGTGCCCAAGGCCAGGCTGGACACTGGGGCTGGAGCAGCCTGGCACAGTGGCAGTGTCCCTGCCATGGCAGGGTGGCACTGCAGGGGCTCTGGGGTCCCTTCCCACCCAAATCGTTCCAGAACTCCGTGACCCCACAAAGGAGGCTGACCCTGCCCTGGAGTGTCCTGCAGCTCTGCAATGGATCCTGTCCCATGGCTGCAGCCCTCTCCCCTGCCCCGGGATGTGAGGGAGCCCAGGAAAAGCCTCGGCTCTGCTGGCACAGGGATCACCCAGCCAGACCCTGCAGCGGCCATGTCCCAGCACCTGCTCTCCAGGGGGAACAAAGGGGATTCAGCCCCACCCCAGGAGTGACTTTGGAGGCTCCCAGAGAGTCCCTGCTCCCCAGCCCAGGCGCCTCAGCATCCCAGGGAAGGAGGCAGCCCCTGCACAGCCCCAAACCCAGGGGACACCCCGGGGACGCCTGTGGGACATGGGCACCTCGGGAGCTGAGGAGCAGGGCCTGGACCCCGCAGCCGAGGGACCCAGGGGCTCCATGCCCCGAGCACCAGCCCAGGATCAGGATCAGGATCAGGATGGGGATGGGATCAGCACGTACTTGTTGGCTCGGATGCCCTCCCGCCGGGAAGCCAGTCCTTCAGCCACCAGGGACTCGGCAATGTTCTCACCACTGGTGTCTGTGACAGGAGAGGAGCAGCAGGTGAGAGGGGCCAGAGGGAATGGGGCAGCATTCCCAGTGATCCCAGTAAGCAGTGCTGCAACAGCCCCATGGCTGTCCCTCACCCTGCTGGCCCCAGCCACGGCTCCAGCCTGCCCCCATCCCTCTGCAAGCTCCCTGCTCTCCATCCTCCCCAGCCAGGAGCTGCTGCAGGGAACCTGTCACAGCGTTCCCACATCAACGGCGTTTAAACCCTGACAAACTTCACCAGGAAACATTTTCTGCCTCATTTCTCCCGCCCGCGCCGCTCCAGGCTGGAGCAGGGATGGGCATGGCTCCAGGAGAGGCCCCCACACCCCAACCCTTCCCACTTCACCCCCTGCCCGTGGCCCCTGGGATGGCCCAGGCTGGGGGGCGGCTCAGGGGAGAGCAGAGCAGCAGCTCCCCAAATCCAAGGTGCAAATCAAACACTGGATTCCATGACCTTGGATCTCGGGGGTCCTTCCCAACCAAAACGTCTGTGATTCCAACCCCTCCCTCCGCAGGAGGGGATTCCATCCCAAGGGTCTCCCTGGCACAGCAGGAGCTCAGGAATGCATCACAGAATGTCCCGAGTGGCAAGGGACCCACAGGGACCACCAACCCGGACCCTGGCCCTAACCAGGACATCCCAAAATCCCGCCTCAGATCCCAGAGCCACGGGAGCCCCTGCCCCGCCTGGGACCCCCCCCTGCCAGCCTCAGGAGCTGCCCGGGACCAGCAAGCCCGGCTGGGCCAGCCATCCCTGCTCCTGCCATGGGAATGCCAGGAGTGCCATGGGAATGCCAGCAGAGAGCCACGGGAATGCCCTGAGTGCCATGGGAATGCCAGCAGAGAGCCACGGGAATGCCAGCAGAGTGCCACGGGAATGCCAGGAAAGGCTCTGAATGCCACGGGAATGTCCTGAGTGCCACGGGAATGCCAGGAAAGGCTCTGAATGCCACGGGAATGTCCTGAGTGCCACGGGAATGCCAGGAAAGGCTCTGAATGCCATGGGAATGCCAGGAGAGTGCCATTGGAATGCCCTGAGTGCCACGGGAACGCCAGGAGAGGCTCTGAGTGCCACAGGAATGTCCTGAGTGCCACGGGGAGCACACCTGGAGCAGCCACTCCCCCTTTCCAGCCCATTCCCACAAGGAAAACAGCTGAGTCCGCAGGGATGTGGGGCTGAGGGCACCCAACCCCCCCAGTCCCCACTGGGGCTCCCCAGGGACTTCCCCCAAAACTCAGCAGCCTCCAGCCCCTTCCCAGCACCTGGTCCTTCCCTCCTTCCCGTGGGATTGCAGTGCCTGGGAGCTGTGTCCAAGGCCAGGCACATCCCACTGGCATCCCCAACCTCCCACATGGGATCCCAGCTCTGCATGGAGCATCCCCCTGCCCCAGCCACAGGATGAGCTGGGAGCCCAGCCCTCATCCCTGCAATCCCCAGGGAATCCTGGCAGGGACAAAGCTGGTGCCTCCAAAGGGCCACGCTGAGGGGACACAGGCAGGGAGAGCCCCAAAACCCACCCGGAATGCTGGGGGTGAATTCCTTCTGGGATCTCAGCCACAGACAAGCAGGAGATTTGTAACAACAGAAAGGATGGAAAAGGGAAAGCTGTGGGAATTCAGCCAGCGCTGCTCCTCGTGTCCATGAGCTCTGGCTCAGCTGGGATCAGCCCCAGGCACTGCCCTCTCCCAGAACTGGGAATCCACGGGCAAGTGGGAACGCATCCTTCTGCTGCCACAGCGTGCCCGACACCTCCCCTCTCCCACTGCAGCCCCCCAGAAGGTGTTCCCAGCTGGAATTGTGCTTCAGGCACTCCAGGCTGAGCCCAGGAAAGCTCCTGGAGCAGGGAGAGCGGGGCTGCAGCTGTGGAAACCTGGGGGGCTGGACACCCCTCACTTCCCTCGCAGAGCCATGGAAGAGTCACGGAAAAGCGATGGGAAAGCAGGCAGGCATCCTCCTGCTGATGGCACATCCCAACACAGCCTGACCCTCCCCTTGTGCTCCCCCCAGCCACCTCTTCCCAGGTGAACCACCCTGGAACCACCTCTTCCCAGGTAATCCATCCTGACCCACCTCTTCCCAGGCGAGCCATCCTGACCCACCTCTTTCCAGGTAATCCATCCTGAGCCACCTCTTCCCAGGTGAAACACCCTGACCCACCTCTTCCCAGGTGATCCATCCTGAGCCACTTCTTCCCAGGTAAACCATCCTGACCCACCTCTTTCCAGGTAATCTATCCAGAGCCACCTTTTCCCAGGTAAACCATCCTGACCCACCTCTTCCCAGGTAAACCATCCTGAGCCACCTCTTCCCAGGTGAAACACCCTGACCCACCTCTTCCCAGGTAAACCATCCTGAGCCACCTCTTTCCAGGTGAACCACCCTGGAACCACCTCTTCCCAGGTGATCCATCCTGACCCACCTCTTTCCAGGTAATCTATCCAGAGCCACCTTTTCCCAGGTAAACCATCCTGACCCACCCCTTCCCAAGTAACCCATCCATCCTCACCTTTTCCTAGGTAAAACATCCGTCCTCACCTTTTCCCTGGTAAAACACTCAGCCCCACCTTTTCCCAGATAAACCACCCAGCCTCACCTTTCCCCAGGTAACCCATCCATCCTCACTTCTTCTCAGGTAAAACATCCATCCTCACCTGTTCCTAGGTAACCCAGCCTCACCTTTTCCTAGGTATCCCATCCTCACCTGTTCCTAGGTAACCCAGCCCCACCTTTTCCCAGATAACCCATCCCCACCTGTTCCCAGGTATCCCATCCCCACCTTTCCCAGGTATCCCATCCTCCTCACCTGTTCCCAGGTAACCCATCCCCACCTGTTCCCAGGTAACCCATCCTCACCTTTTCCCAGATAACCCACCCAGCCCCACCTTTTCCCAGGTAACCCATCCTCACCTGTCCCCAGGTATCCCACCCATCCCCACCTGTTCCCAGGTATCCCATCCTCACCTGTTCCCAGGTATCCCACCCATCCTCACCTTTCCCCAGGTATCCCACCCATCCCCACCTGTTCCCAGGTACCCCATCCCCACCTGTTCCCAGGTACCCCTACCCACTTTCCCAGGTATCCCATCCCCACCTGTTCCCAGGTATCCCATCCCCACCTTTCCCAGGTACCCCTACCCACCTTTGCCCAGGTAGACCATGCCGTACTCGCGGCCCTGGGGGGTCTTGTACTCCACGGTGAAGCACACCTCCTTCCCGATCAGCTTCTTGCGCAGGAACTCCCGCGCCGGGAAGCCCCAGGGCTGCCGGGACAGAGGCGCCCTGAGCCGGGGGTCCCGGGGGGAGCAGCCCCCCTCCTCCCCCGGGACCGCCCTGCCGGGAACCCGCTCCTCCCTGGCGGGGAGAACACCCCCAGAGGGGTCCCGGGCGGGCCGCGGCCCCCCGAAAGCGCGGCGAGCGCGGGGCTGGAGCGGCCCCGGCTCCCGGGGGTGCCCCGAGGGCTCCTTCCCGGCGGCTCCGGGGCAGGAAGGGAGCGGGATGGGCTCTGGCACGGCTCGGGGCGCGCTCCCGGGCGCGCTCCCGCTGCAGCACCGGCGGGTGGGCGGGAGCGCGGCCGGAGGTGGGAACGTGACGCGCTCATAAACAATTAGCGGGGCTGACAGGCGTCACTTTGGCAAAGAGTGACATTTAGAGGCTGTTTGGAAGACAAAACTCCCCAGGGAGAGCAATTATCTGCCAGCGCTGCTCCCGCCGCCCCCGGCCCGCAGGAGGGGGGCCGGGAGCCCCGCCGGCACCGAGCGGCTCCGGGAGCGCCCCAGAGCACCCCCGAGCCCCAGAGCACCCCCGTGTGCCCCAAAACAGACACCCCGTGTGCCCCAGAGCACCCCCGTGTGCCCCAAAGCATCCCCGTGTGCTCCAAAGCACCCCCCGAGCCCCAGAGCACCCCCGTGTGCCCCAAAACAGACACCCCGTGTGCCCCAGAGCACCCCTGTGTGCCCCAAAACAGACACCCCGTGTGCCCCAAAGCACCCCTGTGTGCCCCAAAGCATCCCCCGAGCCCCACCGTGTGCCCCAAAACAGACACCCCGTGTGCCCCAGACCACCCCTGTGCACCCCAAACCATTCCTGAGTCCCAGAGCACCTCCCCTATGCCCCAAACAAAACTCTCGGTCCCAAGCCATACTCCATGTGCCCCAAACCATCCCAAGTCCTAAACCACCCCCCAAGCCCCAACACAGCCACCCCATGGGCCCCAAACCATCCCCTCGTGTGTCCCAAACTCTCCCACATGCCCCAAACCATCCCGAGTCCCAAACCACCCGACGTGTCCCAAAACAGCCACCCCATGTGCCCTAAACCATCCTGAGTCTCAAGCCACCCCCATGTGCCCCAAACTATCCCCCCGTGCCCCCCACAACCGTCCCAAGTGCAGAGGGGCAAAGCAGGAGGTTCCCCCAAGCCCTCCCTGGGGTGGGATGGACCCCGTGTGTCCCTGCCAGGCAGCCCAGCCCCTGCCCAGCCCGTGTCCCAGCCTGTGTCCCCCAGCCATGTCCCCCAGCCCGTGTCCCAGCTGTGCCTCGTCGGGGATGTCCCTGCCGTGCCCAGCCCATGTCCCCCAGCCCATGTGTCCCAGCCGTGTGTGTGCCCCAAAACAGACACCCCGTGTGCCCCAGAGCACCCCTGTGTGCCCCAAAGCACCTCTGTGTGCACCAAAACAGACACCCCGTGTGCCCCAGAGCACCCCTGTGTGCCCCAAAGCACCTCTGTGTGCCCCAAAACAGACACCCCGTGTGCCCCAGAGCACCCCTGTGTGCCCCAGAGCACCCCCCGAGCCCCAGAGCACCTCTGTGTGCCCCAAAACAGCCACCCCATGTGCCCCAAACCATCCCCAGCCATGCCCAGCCCGTGCCCCCCAGCCCGTGTCCCCCAGCCCATGTGTCCCAGCCCGTGTCCCCGCCGTGCCTCGTCCGGGGTGTCCCTGCCGTCGGGCTGGCTGGCGGCCGCGCGCCGTGCCAGGCTCCCCGCGCGGATGTTGCTGAGGTTGATCTGGCGCTCCGGGGGGGGCCCCCCGCGGGGCTGGCCCCGCACGATGATGGCACAGCCCGACAGCACCTGCGGGACAGCGGGGACAGAGGGGTCAGAGGAGACAGAGGGGACAGCGGGGACAGAGGGGACAGAGGGGTCAGAGGGGACAGAGGGGATAGCGGGGACAGAGGGGACAGAGGGGACAGCGGGGACAGAGGGGACAGAGGGGACAGAGGGGACAGTGGGGACAGCAGGGACAGAGGGGACACCGGGGATAGAGGGGTCAGAGGGGACAGTCGGGACAGAGGGGACAGCGGGGATAGAAGGGACAGTGGGAACCGTGGGGACAGAGGGGACAGCGGGGTCAGCGGGGACAGAGGGGATAGCAGGGTCAGTGGGGATAGAGGGGACAGAGGGGATAGCGGGGTCAGAGGGGACACCGGGGATAGAGGGGTCAGAGGGGATAGAAGGGTCAGCGGGGTCAGAGGGGACAGTGGGGATAGCGGGGACAGAGGGGACAGCGGGGTCAGAGGGGTCAGCAGGGATAGAGGGGTCAGCGGGGACAGCAGGGACAGAGGGGACACCGGGGATAGAGGGGTCAGAGGGGACAGAGGGGACAGTGGGGACAGCGGGGACAGTGGGGACAGCGGGGACAGTGGGGACAGAGGGGACAGCAGGCTCAAAGGGGACAGCAGGGACAGCAGGCTCAAAGGGGACAGCAGGGACAGCAGGCTCAAAGGGGACAGCGGGGTCAGCGGGGACAGCAGGGATAGAGGGGTCAAAGCGGACAGCGGGGACAGAGGGGACAGAGGGGTCAGCAGGCGGGGGACAGCGGGGTCAGCGGGGACAGAGGGGACAGAGGGGTCAGAGGGGTCAGAGGGGGACAGAGGGGACACCGGGGACAGAGGGGATAGAGGGGACAGTGGGAACAGAGGGGACAGAGGGGGACAGAGGGGGACAGAGGGGTCAGCAGGGACAGCAGGCTCAAAGCATCCCCCGGCACAGCGGCGGCAGCCAGAGATGGGGGACAGGGAGGTGACGCTGCACGGACACGCGCAATTCCAGGATGTCCTGGCCTGGCAGGGCTCAGGAACCCGGCACTGCTGAGTGCCACGGGTCTGGAGAGCCAGGAGCTGTCCCAGCTGGAGATGGGGCCACAGTCCACGTCCTGGGCTCATCCCCAGCAGGGCAGGGGGATCCTGCCCCTGTGCCCAGGTGAGAGCTGCCCCAGCCCTGGGCACAGCAGTCTGTCCCCAGCACGACAGAGACTCCCTGGAGAGAGCCCAGAGGAGCCCCCAGAGCTGCTCCAGGGTGGAGCCCCTCAGTTCCCAGGATCCAGGCTGGGAGAGCTGGGGGTGCTCACCTGGAGAGGAGAAGGATCCAGGGAGAGCTCAGAGCCCCTGGCAGGGCCTGAAGGGGCTCCAGGAGAGCTGCAGAGGGACTGGGGACAAGGGATGGACAGGACACAGGGAATGGCTCCCAGTGCCAGAGGGCAGCCATGGATGGGATCTTGGCCATGAGGAATTCCTGGCTGGGCTGGAATTGCCAGAGCAGCTGGGGCTGCCCCTGCATCCCTGGCAGTGCCCAAGGCCAGGCTGGACACTGGGGCTGGAGCAGCCTGGCACAGTGGCAGTGTCCCTGCCATGGCAGGGTGGCACTGCAGGGGCTCTGAGGTCTCTCAGAGCTCAGCACACCTGGACACGGGGTCACCTCCGTGCACACAGAACACCAAGGAGGATTTGGAAAATCAGGATTTTACACCTGGTGCTTTCCAGGTGAGCCCAGCCAGGCCATGTCCCACCACAGCTCTGGCTCCGAGAGCTCCGGGCTGCACACTCCCAGCCAAGCCCCTCTCCCAGGGCTCCCTCACACCCCCAGCCCCCACATTCCCAGCCCATTCCCCGGGTCCTTCTGCAGGGCTGGGCTCTGGGCCAGCATCCAGAGTGTGCTGGGATCTCCCTGTTCCCAGGATCTCCCTGGAGTTCTCAGGGAACTCCCTGTTCCTGGGATCTCCCTGTCCCTGAGGATCCCCCGTTCCCAAGTGTCACAGCTGAGACAGCCACGACACACAGCGTGCCACCACACAACTTCAGAAGGCTTCAGGCCCCATCCAGAGTAACATCACCCCACTTCAGAAGGCTGCAGGCATCTGCCCTTGCTGTCCCTCACCACCCTTTTCCCCCTCCTGCTCACCCCCTGCCCCGTGTGCCCTCTGCTCCCTGGCTGGTTGCTCAGCACCCCTGGGCAGCCCATGGCTCCCTGCTGTCAGTGCTGCTCACAGCTGTGCCCTGGGGCTGGGGCAGCCCCCCTGCCAGCCCCCACAGACTGTGTGCCTACCCCAGGGATCTCCCTGATCCAGCCCGGGGTCGGTTCCAGTGCCTGCCCTGGCTCCCTCCACCCGAAATCCGCCGGGTGCTCGCAGGGATCCCAAACCCCCCCAGCTCTGCCCCACCAGCAGAGCCAGCCCAGCCCCGTGCCCAGGACACTGAGCCCCCCAGGATGAGCCCCCCCCCGAGGCTCAGGGTGCCCCTGCTCCCCCACCTGGAGGCACGGAGCGATCCCAGCCAGGGCTCACTGCTCTGTGCTTAACGACTTAGAGGTTTCATGGCTGTAATTAACCTTAATCTTTAATTTAAGGGCACGGCGAGGCCAGGGAGCTGCTGTGTTCGTTCAATGCCCATTCCTGGGTCCCGGGGTGGGATCCTTGGCTCCATGTTCGGGGGTCAGGGCAGTGCTCTGGGGACACTCCGTGCCAGCTGCTGATCCCTGTGGCCCTGTCCCTGCCCATGGAGGGGCCACACGCCCCCGTGGGGGCCGGGATCCCACCCGAGGAAACGCTCCCGGGATGGCCGTGGGGTCAGGACACTGTCCCCACAGCCAGGTGTCACCGTCCCACCCCAGGGCCCGTCCGTCCCACTGAGGGCTCCAGCAGAGAAATCTGGGCTTAAACCTGGCTTAATCCAGCCTGGAAGCAGCACAGGCACACGGGGTGCACAGCCCCAACTCCAGCTCCAGAGCACCAAAACCCCACGGGCACATCCAGAATCCAGAGCTGCCCCCGTGGGGCACACAGGGTTAAAAATCCTGACAGGAGTGGGAGGAAAATTCCTGCTCTTCATCCCCACCCTGCTGCCAAACTCCTGCTCTCAAACCCCCTAGTCTGAGTGTGATTGCAGTGAGCCTCACGGGAAGGTGCAAAAAGCCCCAAAACCCCCCAAAGCGGTGACGGGCACGAGGCTGGCACCGGAGAGCCAGGGACCCCCTCTCCCGGGGCAGTGCTGGGCTGGCTGGCCCCAAGGGGACACCCCGGGCTACGGGGCACAGGCACGGCTGCCTCCCAGCCAGCAGACCCCAGAATCCCCCCCAAATCCCCCCAGATCCCTGCTTGGATCCACATCCCCGTGGATGGATCGGGCGGGCACACGGCCAGGTGTTCCTGAGCACCCCAAAACCTGCAGCTAGGGCAGGAGCAGATCCCCGTGTCCCCAGTGCCACACAGCACCGGGATGGCGCCAGAGCAGACCTGCGGTGTCCCCAAACCCCCGGTGTCCCCAAACCCCCGGGTGTCCCCAAACCCCCCGGTGTCCCCAAACCCCCCGGTGTCCCCCAACCGGGGGGCTGGGGCGGGACAGGGCCGGGAAGGGACACGGGACAGGGACACGGGACGGGGCCTGAACCCGACCTTCGCTCTCCCGGGCCCCGCTGCCGGCACACGTGGGGCCCAGCCGCGGGGGCGGGGACCCTTCCCGGGGACCCCGGAGGGACGGGGGGACCCCATCCCCGGAGGGCCCCGAGCGGGGCTGGGGGATCCCGCCCCGGGGATGCAAGGGCAGCGAGCGGAGCACGTAAACCCCCCGGTGTCCCCCAACCCCCGGTGTCCCCCAACCCGCCGGGTGTCCCCAAACCCCCGGGTGTCCCCCAACCCCCCGGGTGTCCCCAAACCCCCGGGTGTCCCCCAACCCCCGGTGCCTGACCACAGACCCCAGTGTCCATCCCCAGACCCCCGCTGCCCATCCCAAACCTCCGGGATCCATCCCTAGATCCCTGCCATGCGTGCCCAGACTTGCCGGGTCCGTGTCCCGCTGTCCCAGCCCTGTCCCCAGCACGGGCACGGGCTGCAGTGACAGCCGGGAACAGGTCCCGCTCCGGGCGCAGCCGAGACCCCCGCATCGCCCGGGCACGGGGATCGGGGGGTCCGGGAGCACGGCAGGGAAGGGGCTGGGGCGGGACAGGGCCGGACAGGGACACGGGACAGGGACACGGGACGGGGCCTGAACCCGACCTTCGCTCTCCCGGGCCCCGCTGCCGGCACACGTGGGGCCCAGCCGCGGGGACGGGGACCCTTCCCGGGGACCCCGGAGGGACGGGGGGACCCCATCCCCGGAGGGACCCGAGCGGTGGCAGGGTATCCCGCCCCGGGGATGCCCCGGGGATGCAAGGGCAGCGAGCGGAGCACGTGCGGCACCGGCGGGACGGCCCCGCTGCCGGTGCACCGCCAGGCTCCGGGGCCGGCAGGGAGCGGGAGCACCGGCACCAAAGCTCCCGGGGCGGCGCGGGGAGCCGGGCTGCGGGGCAATGCCGGGCTGCGGCGGGAGGGGCCCGGCACGGGCGGTAACGGACCAGCACCCACCGCGGAACGGGCCGGGAGCGGGGCACCGGCCGCACCGGGCACGGGAGCGGCGCACCGCGCGGCGAGCCGACAGCGGAAGGGAAGGGAGGCGGGCAGCGGAGCGAGGCCCCGGAGGAGCCTGCGGGAGACGGGGCTCCCCGGTCACCGGCGAGGCGCGGGGTCGGCGCGGGGAGCGGCGGGCACAGCCCTTACCATCTTGACGATGCCGCGCTGGACGACGGGCGGCGGCGCGGAGTTCCGGGGCGCGCGGCGCCAGGGACACGTCGGCAAAGGCCGCCCGCGCGCGCACGTGGCCTCGCGCCGCGCCGGGGGCGGGGCCGCGCTGCGACACGCCCCTTCCGTCACCCGGGGGGGCGGGGCTTGGTGGGGACACGCCTCTTCTCGTCCGCTGCGCGCGTCCAACCGCGGGACCGGAGCGGGCTGGGGTCACCCCCGGGACCCCCGGGACCCCCGACCCGGCCCCGGCCTTGGGGGGACCCCGGCCCCAGCCCGGTCCCCGTGCCGCTGGGACCCCCAGCACGCTCCCCCAGGGCCGGGGGTCCCCCAGTGCGGGTCCCCCCGACCTCTGTGCGGCCCCTCGGTGACCCCCCGGGCCACCGGAGCCTGCCGGTGCCGCTCCCCGCCCGGGCCCGGGGGTTTTGGGGGAAGGGGGAGGATGGGGCACGCACCTCTGGCGGGTTTGGGGGTGGCAGGGACGGCCCCGCTGCCCGGGGGTCGCTCCCTTCCTGCACCCGCACCCCAAACCCCCCCTGCCCACCGGGGCCACCCGCGTCCTGCCGGGGCACCGGGGACACCCGCGGTCCGGACACAGCCCCGGGGTGCCCTCCCTCAGGGGACACTGGCGCTGCCACCCCTCTGGGTGACCCCAATGCCCCAGCCCCGGGCGGGGGAAACCCCCCCGCCGTGTCCCGTGTCACCGGCTGGGGTCCCGCCGGGAGGCGCTCGGGGTGCTCCGGGTGCCGCTCCCGGTGCCGCTCCCGGTGCCGCTCCCGGTGCCATTCCCGGTGTCGCAGGGGAATCCGCCCCGCCAGCGTCTCCCGCTGGGCATGGCACGTTTTCCCACTCTATGATATTTTTTTCCCGTGTTCCCCATGTTTTTCCATGTTCCCCATGTTTTCCCGTGTTCCCGGTGTTTCCCGTGCCCCCGATGTTTTCCCGTGTTCCCCATGTTTTTCCATGTTCCCGGTGTTATCCCCGTGCCCCCGATGTTCTCCCCGTGCCCCGGTGTTCTCCCCTTGCCCCCGGTGTTTTCCCGTGATCCCGGTGTTTTTCCATGTGGCCACCGGAGCCTGCCGGTGCCGCTCCCAGCCCGGGCCCGGGGTTTTGGGGGAAGGGGGAGGATGGGGCACGCACCTCTGGCGGGTTTGGGGGTGGCAGGGACGGCCCCGCTGCCCGGGGGTCGCTCCCTTCCTGCACCCGCACCCCAAACCCCCCCTGCCCACCGGGGCCACCCGCGTCCTGCCGGGGCACCGGGGACACCCGCGGTCCGGACACAGCCCCGGGGTGCCCTCCCTCAGGGGACACTGGCGCTGCCACCCCTCTGGGTGACCCCAATGCCCCAGCCCCGGGCGGGGGAAACCCCCCCGCCGTGTCCCGTGTCACCGGCTGGGGTCCCGCCGGGCGGCGCTCGGCTCCCGGTGCCGCTCCCGGTGCCGTTCCGGGTGCCATTCCCTGTGCCATTCCCGGTGCCGCTCCCGGTGTCGCCTCTGCCGGCCCCGAGCAGAGCCGTGTCACCCGTGGGTGGCCGGGGACGATCGGAGCGCACGGGAATCCGCCCCGCCAGCGTCTCCCGCTGGGCATGGCACGTTTTCCCACTCTATGATATTTTTTTCCCGTGTTCCCCATGTTTTGCCATGTTCCCCATGTTTTCCCGTGCCCCGGTGTTTCCCCTGCTCCCGATGTTTTCCCGTGATCCCGGTGTTTTTCCGTGCCCCCGATGTTTTCCCGTGTTCCCCATGTTTTTCCATGTTCCCCATGTTTTCCCGTGTTCCCGGTGTTTCCCGTCCCCCCGATGTTTTCCCGTGTTCCCCATGTTTTTCCATGTTCCCCATGTTTTCCCGTGTTCCCGGTGTTTCCCGTCCCCCCGATGTTTTCCCGTGTTCCCCATGTTTTTCCATGTTCCCCGTGTTATCCCCGTGCCCCTGGTGTTTTCCCCGTGCCCCCGATGTTTTCCCCTGCCCCCGATGTTTTCCCGTGATCCCGGTGTTTTTCCGTGATCCCGATGTTTTCCCGTGATCCCGATGTTTTCCCGTGATCCCGGTGTTTTCCCGTGCCCCGGTGTTTCCCCTGCCCCCGGTGTTTTCCCACGCGTGCCCACCCCGGGGTCTCTGTCCCGCCGCGGGTCCCGGCGCAGCCCCCGCCCGTTTCCCGGCGGTCCCGGCGGTCCCGGTGGTCCCGGCGGTCCCGCTCCAGGATTCCACCCCCCGCCTGTGCCGGCGCTCCCGGCCCGCGGGGAATCCTCTTCCCTCCCTCTCCCTGCTGCCGCAGCCTTCCAGCGCCTCTGACCTCCCTGCCCCGGCCTTTTGGTGACAGCTCGTTCACTGCTTGCTTTTCTCCCCGTTTTTAGTACTTAGCCCCTTTTTCGGGGCGGGAAATCTCCGCCCAAACACCTGGAAAAGCAGCTCCACTGTCCCGAGCCGTGGGATTTCTGTTCCTGCCAATGTCACTGTCCCGTCTTGCACCTGCGTTCCACCAGAGATGATGGGAGGACGCCTTCAAGCCCCCAAATTGCCTCTTTTAGCCCGAATCCTTTAATAATCATCATTTTGATGGAAAAGAAAGTGAAATTGTGGGTGGGAACGTGGGGATAAACTCTGTTTTCTCGGTCGGCTGAGTCATCTGGGCTTTTAACTTCCACCCGTGCTTTCTGCAGGAGAAAAGAATGGGAATTTCCAGGCACCTGGTGCTCAGCGAGGAGCAGGGCGACCTTCTGCAGGGAGAAAGCCCAGAATGGTGCAAAACAGCCTCGGATGTGCGGACAGGAACGACACAGGGAGGGAAATCAGGGAATCCTGGAATGGTTTGGGTGGGAAGGGACCTCAGAGCCCCTGCAGTGCCACCCTGCCATGGCAGGGACACTCCCACTGTGCCAGGCTGCTCCAGCCCCAGTGTCCAGCCTGGCCCTGGGCACTGCCAGGGGTGCAGGGGATGCTGAGTGGATCCCCTGGGAGCTGCAGCTCGTCCCTCTGCCCTCCCCGGAGCTGGCTCTGGGCTGGGATGAGGAGAGGGAACACCAGGAGCTGGGTGTGGAGCACCAGAACGGCCAGGTCTCCTCTGGGCAGGGGTGGGAATTCCCAAATCCAGTTATCCCAGACCTGGTTATGCCAGCACCCATCCCTGTGTGCAGCCTGGGGGGGCCCTGGGGGGGCCCTGGTTCCTCCGAGCCACCGGCAGCTGTTCCCTGTGGGAAGGGGCCCTCCTGCTCCCGGTGCCGCTCAGGGAATGCGGGCACTGAGCTCCAGACGGAATCCCAGCACTGAGCTGCGGAGCTTTGGCAGCTTTGCCTCGCCGTGGAAATCTCCTGGGACAGAGGCACTCCCTGGTCTGCTCCCTCCGCCTGTTCCACTCCTCTGTGTCCCTGTTCCCATTCCTGTCACACTCCACGTCCCCATTCCATCCCCTCCCTGTCCCTGGTCCTGTGCCACTCCATGTCCCTGTTCTGTCTTATCCCTGTCCCTGTTCCCATGTCCCTCCCTGTCCCTGTGTCCCCCTGTCCCTGTGCCATTCTGTGTCCCTGTCCCAGTGTCTCTCCCTGTCCCTGTGCCACTCTGTGTCCCTGTTCCCATGTCCCTTCCTGTCCCTTTGTCCCCCGTCCCACTCTGTGCCCCTGTTCCCATGTCCCTCCTGTCCCTGTGTCCCCCTGTGCCACTCTGTGTCCCTGTTCCCATGTCCCTGTTCCCCTGTCCATCCCTGTTCCCGTGTCCCTCCTGTCCCTGTGTCCCCCTGTCCCTGTGCCACTCTGTGTCCCTGTCCCTGTGTCCCTCCCTGTCCCTGTGTCCCCCTGTCCCTGTGCCACTCTGTGTCCCTGTTCCCATGTCCCTGTTCCCATGTCCATCCCTGTTCCCGTGTCCCTCCTGTCCCTGTGTCCCCCTGTCCCACTCTGTGTCCCTGTGTCCCTCCCTGTCCCTGTGTCCCCCTGTCCCACTCTGTGTCTCTGTTCCCATGTCCCTGTTCCCATGTCCCTCCCTGTTCCCGTGCCCCTCCTGTCCCTGTGCCACTCTGTGTCCCCGTTCCTGTGTCTGTCCCTGTGTCCCCTGTCCCATTCCCGAGCGGTGCTGCTGTCACTCCTCTGCCAGAGCAGGTCCCCTCCCTCCCCCCAGCCCCTCCCCACTGTCCCTGCAGGGTCCCTCTCTCCTGTGTCCCTTCCCAGCTGCAGACCCCAATCCCCAGCGCAGCCCGTCCCTGCAGCCAGCCTGGAATGGGGACAGGACCCGTGTCCCCCGGCGGTGACAGCAGAGGGCAGAACCCTCTGGGCACGGCCGCTGGGAGCAGGGATGGGGCAGCGCGGAGGGAAGGATCCCTGAGCCCCGGGAGGGGCAGCTCCGCCCCGAGGCACAGCCCGGCCTGCACGGGATTGTCCCGGTTCCTCCCGCCGGGACAGCCCCGAGAGGGGAATGGGTGGGGTGGGATTGGGATGGGAACGGGGAGGAAGGGGGGGAATGGCGTTGGGAATGGAGATGGAGATGGTCTGGGAGTGGAGGAGGAGATGGGGGGAGATAAAGGCAGAGATGGAGAAGAAGCAGAGGTGAAAGCAGAGAAAAAAAGAAGGATACAAAGATGGAGACTAAGATACAAATACAGAGGCAGAAATGAAGATGGAAAGAGAAATGAAGACGCAGATGAAAGCGGAGATGGCTGCAAAGGTGGAGGTGGTGGATCTGCTCACCTGGATCCCTGTGCCCGGCAAACCCCCAGAGCCGCGGGGGACACCCCTCCCTGCTGGGCTGCTGCCATCAGCGCCTTTCCTGGGACACCGCAGCTCTGCGCTGCCCCCCACAGCCCCCGTGTCCCCAGCCCGCCCCTGATCCTGCCTGGCGACAGTGGGGACCGGCCTTTCCTTTCCTTTCCTTTCCTTTCCTTTCCTTTCCTTTCCTTTCCTTTCCTCCTTTCCTTTCCTTTCCTTTCCTTTCCTTTCCTTTCCTTTCCTTTCCTTTCCTTTCCTTTCCTTTCCTTTCCTTTCCTTTCCTTTCCTTTCCTTTCCTTTCCTTTCCTTTCCTTTCCTTTCCTTTCCTTTCCTTTCCTTTCCTTTCCTTTCCTTTCCTTTCCTTTCCTTTCCTTTCCTTTCCTTTCCTTTCCTTTCCTTTCCTTTCCTTTCCTTTCCTTTCCTTTCCTTTCCTTTCCTTTCCTTTCCTTTCCTTTCCTTTCCTTTCCTTTCCTTTCCTTTCCTTTCCTTTCCTTTCCTTTCCTTTCCTTTCCTTTCCTTTCCTTTCCTTTCCTTTCCTTTCCTTTCCTTTCCTTTCCTTTCCTTTCCTTTCCTTTCCTTTCCTTTCCTTTCCTTTCCTTTCCTTTCCTTTCCTTTCCTTTCCTTTCCTTTCCTTTCCTTTCCTTTCCTTTCCTTTCCTTTCCTTTCCTTTCCTTTCCTTTCCTTTCCTTTCCTTTCCTTTCCTTTCCTTTCCTTTCCTTTCCTTTCCTTTCCTTTCCTTTCCTTTCCTTTCCTTTCCTTTCCTTTCCTTTCCTTTCCTTTCCTTTCCTTTCCTTTCCTTTCCTTTCCTTTCCTTTCCTTTCCTTTCCTTTCCTTTCCTTTCCTTTCCTTTCCTTTCCTTTCCTTTCCTTTCCTTTCCTTTCCTTTCCTTTCCTTTCCTTTCCTTTCCTTTCCTTTCCTTTCCTTTCCTTTCCTTTCCTTTCCTTTCCTTTCCTTTCCTTTCCTTTCCTTTCCTTTCCTTTCCTTTCCTTTCCTTTCCTTTCCTTTCCTTTCCTTTCCTTTCCTTTCCTTTCCTTTCCTTTCCTTTCCTTTCCTTTCCTTTCCTTTCCTTTCCTTTCCTTTCCTTTCCTTTCCTTTCCTTTCCTTTCCTTTCCTTTCCTTTCCTTTCCTTTCCTTTCCTTTCCTTT